CTTCATGGCAGTGATCATGATCCTTCCCACCTTGGGGATTCCTGGCCTGGCCTTTTCCCTCAGTGCAATGTGCTCCTTCTCCTCTGTTGCTAGCGCTCCATATCAGTTCTCCTGGCAAATTGCTGCACATGGGAATGGCAGTTTCTTGCTGCCAGAAGATACAATGCTCCAGCTTCCACCTTTCTGGTAGTCCATGCCCTCTTCCTTTTCAAGCACCACCTCTGGCAGTCCCTCCTCCACAGTCCTAGAGGTTTCCTCCAGCATGGACTCGATTAAGTCCTCATGGCAGAAGTTGCTTTGGAGCCTTGCTACCTCTTCCTGTAGCTTTCTTGCCTTCTCCATGAGGGACACCACCAGAAGGCACTGCTCACATCACAGGCACTCGCCCACCTGGCTGACATTGGAAGGAACCATAGTCTGAACAACACCAAGCCAGGACCTGGGTGGAAGCCTCAACCATGTGTGGTCCTGCCTGGACAGACACCTTGCAGGTGGAAGCAGAAGAAGAGCTGGAAGTGGCGGTGGCTCTGGGATTGCAACATCCTCCAGCTATGTCTCTGCATCTTCTAATCTGTTGCCTCTTACTTCCTGCCTCTTTTTCCAAGCAGACCTTTCCTAGCAAACTCCTCTGTAGCTGGCTTGCTTGCTGTTCCTTGATCTGAAGGGTTCCCTTTCCCTGTAACCTCTTTCCTCTCAGCAAGTTTACAGTGCAGGAATGTGAGAGAGTTTCCAAGCAAACTCCCTAACAAACTCCCACCTTGCTCTGGACTCTAGTTTAACAAGGAAGTTTTCGTCTAGCTGCTGAGTTTTAGCTGCTAAAATAAAACTATGTAGTTAGTCAGCCCTAATGACATATAAAAAATAATCTTACCTTTCAGGCTCCCCTTCAAAGAGGGGGTGGGAAACTAACCTGCAAACTATCCTGTTTGCTTCTCCCTGGTCACTTGGATTGTCTTCTTATATACCTTTCCTGGGCCTGGACTTGCTAGGCCGCTTTGTTAGGGTCCTTTGTTAGGGCCTTTTGTCACACCAGGGCAGCAATCAATTAGCAATCAGTCCATTCAGCTGCTCAGAGCACACACTGAAGCACACAGATCCGTCAAACAGCTCTCAGCAAGCCAAGCACATAGGCAACCCTGGCTCAGTTACCTTCCCAGAGCAGGGTCTGGTGCCTGGTTCCCCTTCCCCATCCTCCTCTTGCTCCCACCAAACTGCTTTCAAACTGTGCTGTTTGCTTGTACCTGCAGGTTAGACTGTATTCCTGGGAACACCAAAACCTGAAATTACAGGGAGGGATGAGATTTCAAAACTGTGAGCAGCCTGTCAAAGCAGAAGAGACAATATCCAGACGTGAAAGAAAAGGCATTTATACATATACATTTGTCTGCTCAATTTATTGAGTCTGTGCCACACATGAGCTGATGCATCAGGCACTGTATTGCATGCATTTGTATAAACAGCAAAATGCGTATCTGTGGTAAAAAAATGGTGCTGGCGCTGTTTTCTGAGCGCTGATGCGCATTTCACTGTTTATACAAATGGATGCATTGCAGTGCCAGGTTCTTTTAAAAGCACACAGTGCTGAGTGCAAGCCTGCATCCAAATGCCCGAAGAGATAAGTCAAAGAGATGAGCTAGAAGAGAGACTAAGTTCACACACAGAAGGGCAGAAAAACGTAAAACAAAATAAAGAAGTAAAATAAAAATGTGGAAAAATTGTTCTTTCTTTCTCTCTCTCTGTTTATCACTATAAATCTGTCATTTGTGGTGTTCTGATTTTAACGGAAGTTCCTGTTTTGGAGAGGTGCAGCAGTGAGTCATGGCACATGTTCCCTTGGAGGCGAAGGCTCAGCGCATGACAAGGGCTGGGCCTCACACCTTATTAAGGCTTACTTCATTGGGTAGACTGTGTGCGGGCCGGGAATGATCCAAGGCCCTTTTTTTTGCGCCACGGGCTGTGGCCAGCAGCCTGGACACGCCAGGTCGGGGAAGGCAGGCGGTGCGCTAGAATTAGGCACAGACGCTTAATGGTTGCTTAAGATTATTTACTTACACCGAAGATGGTCGCGGTGTAGGCTGGAACGTTTCCAGGAATACTTCGCATAAATCCTAGTTTAAGGACTCCAAAAGAACTCTGATTCACTCACACGAAGTTTTCGAGGCTCCGTGGAACTTTTGCGCGCAGGGAAGGGTACGTCGAGGGATCGTTCGGCGATGGGGAGAAGAATCGATAGGTGATCAGTCTATCGATCAGCCAGCCGCAGGTCAAATCTCCTTAGAAGCACTTTGCAGCGTGCTCAAAGTTCTCCGACTTGGGCGGAAACCACTCAAGCCTCTTATATGGCCAGCAAGCCAATCGCTAGCCGCCACATAGGAATAATTTAGAACTGACCAATAGTGGGGCACGAATTTAAATACAAATGGCGGGAACTCCTTGCAACGTGCATTTCTGTGCTGCAATGAAGAAATGCACCCTGCAAAGAAAGCTACAGACGGCGGGAAAATAATTTAGCAGTGCTGAAGCGCACACAAACAAAAAATCACACCCTTGGGTTGTGATAGACTGAAGCACTCCAAATATGAACAGGCAAGCATAAGGGCCACTTCTTCAACTCTCTACTTTAAGGCATAGGTGCTGAAAGGCATGATCCCACTGGAGTTAACGGAGTCCCATGAGGGAAGTGGCTTGACAGAAAGAGAGAAGATCACAAATGTGATGACAAACCTATTCCTATTAACTTTTTGCTGAGGTTAATGGAACTATGCCAGGTAGCCAGCACTCTGGATGATGATAGTACCAGAAGCTCTGGAGGACTTCCAGTGCCTCAGATCACCCTGGTTGGTGAAATCCAACAAAAACTAGCAAGTTTGAAATACTTAACACCTTCTTCAAGGAGGGCCATCTGCCTACATCACTATCACTTCTAGTAGTTCAGTCAATTAGCAAGGATATGATTTCAGTAGCCTTTATGTTTGGACAAGGTAAACGGATCTTTCAAATGCAGAGCAATGGGCCCCCAATACAGAACAGACTTTTGCTGTGCTTGCAGTTGTGAACAGAACTGAAACCTCTGTCCTCTTCTTGATGTGTTCATAAGTCTCAGCCACAAGATTTTGCTGACCTGCCACCTCGTTGGGGAAGCAGTGTAATGAATCTGAATCCAGTCAATATTTTCAACAGTATTAAGAGCAGGGATGAACAAGCTGTAATTTGTCTCCATGCTCTTATAGAGGGCTCCATCCTGTATTCTTTTTTTCAACAACTCTAGGAAGAACCATTAGACACCATGGACTCTAGCACCATTGGTGGGCTGGTATCACAGCCTTCACATCACTTTCTCTGAAGACAGGAGCCATGCAGGTGTCATAATGCCTATGTGAGATAAGCACACCAATGAGATGCCTTCCGTAGACATCCAAGTGAGAGAGCAGTGAAGGCTGACAGAAAGAGGTAAATGGCTTGTGGAACTTAACAGACTATGACCCTGCCTTCCACCAATGCCATCTATCAAGACAACTAAGGAAATATTAAGCACTGCAGCACTTCTAGATTCATCCTTACTCTTGGAAACCAGGAAACAGCAATTCAGCAATGCTGATAATGACAACTTCTGCTTTCAGGAACAACTGACTAGCCTACAGTACTGCAGAAAAGAATGTGGGGTTTATAATGTGCCATGACTTATATTCATAAGCTGAGTTTGAGTCAACAGTGTGCTCTGGCTGCAAAATAAGCCAATAACATACCTGAGTCTATTAACAGGAGTGTCACTTGTAAATCAAGGGAAGCTATTCTTCTCCATTATTAGGCACTGGTCTCACTGGTGAGGTCTCACTAGTTTTGGGCACCACACTTCAAGAAAGATATGGGCTAATTGGAAAGAGTCCAGCAGAGCAACCAAAATTATTAGAGAAAATAATTATGACTTAAGAGGAAAGGCTAAAACAGAAGGAACAGGACAAAGAGCAATGGTCTAAAATTGCAGCAGGGGAATTTTCGGTTGGATATTAGGGAGAACTTTCTAACTATGAGGGTAGTTAAGCAATGGAACAGATTACTGAGAGTGGCTGTGAAATCTCTACCCTTGGAAGTTTTAAGAGCAGGTTAGACAGGGATGATCCTGTCTTTAGCAGGTGGTTGGACTAGATGCCCTGTCCCTTCCATCACTTTTTTACTCAGTCTTTAGCTATCCAGGGGACTTGACACTTCTTAGTAAAAAAAAATCTAACATCTTTGAGTCATGTGTATGCCTCTTCTTGGTTGGAAGCTATAATCTCTACTCTTGGGCAACTGATCAGGGCCAGCCTTGCAGCAGCCTTGCCTGAGTTACAGGGAACCCACCATATCAGGGTTCCACACCTGCCTCCTGGCAGCACGTGCTAATCAAGGTCCTGGTCCTAATTCTCAATGGCCTGTGGCAGATGACCTCAAAAACTCTTCCACATTCTTGGCCTTGCAAGACCACAGGAAATGGATCCATATAGAACAGAACTACTGGAAGCTGAGGGCAAGGTGGATTCTGTGCACGGCTTTACAAGGTGAAATGACCTACTGGGAAAGGCCACCATATATTCCAGCCAACCACAGACTAAATGTAATACAAACCCCAGATTCCTACAAAACTTTAACTTGGCCACAATGATGGAACAATACTGGCTTTGGCGAGGTACATGATATATAATGTGATTTACACATGATCTACAACACAAGTGGTCTTACCCCACTAGGTGACAGCAGAGCTCCATCCAGTTTGTTTTGGATCTCTCTTAATTTACTTGTCCCATGGCTTGATGATACAGCAATTAATACTCTGTACATATCCCAGGTAGATACATTTTTAAATTACTTCCTTTTATATGTGTCAGAGGTTCTGGATTGTGACCTACACCTATAACTGATGACATCACTCCTCTGGCACTAGAGGGAGGTATTCATAACACCTGGAGAAGAAGTCCTGTGGCTCACACTCTCATCATCCCTGTTTTCTGACTTATCTTACTAAAAACATGAGGATGCAGTTCACAGAAAAGAACCACAACAGCGCTGTCCTGCAAGCACTCAACAAGCAGAGAAAGAACAAGGAGTTCTGTGACGTGGCACTCAGTGTGGATCAGCACGTCTTCTATGCCCACCTTAGTGTGCTGGCAGCTGTGTCTACCCATGTAAAAAATTTAATCTCAAGCAATGACATGAAGACAGGTGATGAACTCTTTATCATCATTGACTCAAACTTCCTGGGCCCAACTCTGGTGGAGCAGCTGCTGGACTATTTCTATACTGGCAAGGTATTGGTGTCCGAGAAGAATGTGGAGGAATTGCTGAAAGGGGCTAAATATTTCAGTTCAGAGTCTCTAAGAGTCCACTGCTCTGACTACCTCCTCAGGTCCCTCAAAAACAGCAACTGTCTGTGCTACCTGTTCCTAGCAAACACTTATGAGCTGAAAGAGGTGGCAAACAATGCCTATGCAGGTATCCGTGACAATTTCCATTACTGGTCAGGCCCTGAGGGCATTTCAGACCTCATGCACTGCCCCCACCAGACCTTTGGCAAGCTCCTCAAGGATGAGGGCCTTCATGTGCAAAATGAGGACCAGGCTTTTCTTGCCCTGCTTCAGTGGGTGAAACACAAAAGAGGAGAGAGAGAGAAATATTTCAAAAAATTCTTCCCCTATATCCATTTAACTGGTGTCTCAACCAAGACGCTAATGGCTGCCAGCCATGAAGTGCCACTGTTTGAGAGTCACTCTGAGTCCCTGGGTCATATAGAGACCATTTTGAGAGACAGAAAGCAAGAAAGTCCTCAAAGCCTGCTACTTCTCCAAAGAAAGGGGGCCTTAATGGATTCAGTCGTGATTTTAGGAGGCCAGAAAGAGCATGGGAGATTCAATGATGGGGTTTTTGCTTACGTTATTGAGGAGAACATATGGCTGAAACTAACAGAGATGCCATATAAAGCAGCTGCCCTTAGTGCAACTTCAGTAGGGAGGTACATATATGTGTCTGGAGGGACAACAGAGCAGATCTCTGGCTTAAAGACTGCATGGAGGTATGATATGGATAATAACTCCTGGACTAAACTGCCTGATCTCCCCGTAGGCCTTGTCTTCCATACCATGGTGACCTGTGGAGGAGTGGTGTACTCAGTGGGAGGCAGCTCTGCCCCAAGAAAATACATCTCTAGCATTTACAAGTATGATGAGAAGAAAGAGAAATGGACCCTGGCTGGGAAAATGAGCATTCCAATGGATGCAACTGCATTGATCACAAAGGGAGAGAAGTTGATTTATATTGTGACAGGGAGATGCCTGGTAAATGGGCGTTTCTCCCGAGTCGGGATGGTGGATTGCTTTGACACTCAGACAGGGGAAGTGGTGCAGTACCTCACCTTCCCCATCGAATTCAATCACAAACCACTCTTGTCTTTTCAACATGAAAACATCCTAAGTATACAGAGCCATAAACAGAGTTTGGATATCAACTTGCGGAAAATTAAAGCCAACAAAGCCACAAATACTGTCCCACTGTTGCCAAACAACTATGCCTTAGATTTATCTCATGCAGTGTGTTCTGTTGGTGACAACAAAGTATTTGTGTGCGGGGGCCTCATTTGCACAGGTGACAAACGTCCTGAAGATTATTCTGTCAATCCAAATGCCTACCTTTTAGATCAGATAACAGGGGAATGGAAAATTCTGGCTGATCCTCCAGAAGCTCTGGATTGCCCCGCTTGTTGTACAGTGAAACTGCCTTGCAAGATTCTTCGAAAAAATATAGTCAACTAATTTGGAGAATAAAAATTCCTAGCAATAAAAAATAATTGAATTGCTGATACAAACAAATGATGCCTTACTCGTTCACTTTGCTTATCTTTTGTGACAGCAGACTGTAGTAAGCAGAGGCTGCAGTGAATGTTACCATCAATATTCCCCTCAATGGTTCTTTCATTTCACGGGTTCCTCACTCAGATTACCAGATTTGGCATCATGACAGAAAATTATTTGCAACAGAAGTAAGTACAATACCATGAACCTGAGATTTTAGGAAGCGGTATTTACACTGAAAGAAAGAATTCCACACTGTTTTACATTTCTTGGATGAATAATTTTTATGTCTGTCATTTTGGGTCTTGGCCATGCATTGTATGCCACATTTGGGCAGGGTGACAGCTCTGGTCTATAGCACAGCATGTCAGCATCTGTCTGCAAATAAAGGGTGCCTGTACACATGACGGGGGTTTAGTCCTTTGGGTTGCATTCTATGCCCCCTAAATTGAAACAGTGAGTTTTTAGTTGAAACCTCACCATTTCAATTTCCATCACTGCATATACGTGATTGTCCTGCTGGCCGCAGGAGCCTGCCACAGGCAGAAGTGGCAAGGGGCCAAATCTTTTTTTTTCCTGACAGAGTCTGCCCACCTCTCCCACAGCTGGGGGGCCGTTAATCTGTGCCATTAATCTTTCACATCAGCCCTCAGCCATGGGAGAAGCAGGCAGGTTCCACCAGAAGAAGAAAAAGAAGGATTGGGCCCCACACTGCTTCTGCCTTCAGCAGGCTCCTGCAGCCAGAAGGATGCCTGGGGCTACCCGGAAATCGGCTGGCTTGCCCCGGGGCAGTCTGGGACGGTGGCAGAAGAGCGCCTGAGTCTGCTGGCAGTCAGAGAAGGTGGTGGGGATCATGCACAGGGCTCTGGAAGCCCAGGCAGGCTGCTAGCTGGCTAGGTGCTGCTCCAGTTAGGAGGAGCCTGATCCAACGCTTCCCCAAACCCACCTGGGCTTCCACCACCTTGTGCACCATTCTCACTGCCTTCTCTGGCTTCTATCAGCACACCCAGATGCCCTCCTGCCATCTCCCCGTGCTGCCCCTGGGGCAAGTTGGGTGGGTTGGTGGCCAGAGAAGGTGGCAGGGACAGTACACAGGGTGCTGAAAGCCTGGGCAGGCTCAGGTGAAGCATTGGTTTGGGTGCCTGGGGTAGCACCTGGCCAGCCAGCAGCCCACCTTGGCTTCCAGCACCCCGTGCAACATCTCTACTGCCTTCTCCAGCCACCAGCAAACCCTTCCGCCAGCCTGCTACCTTCCCATGCTGACCCAGGAGCAGGTCAGCCCATTCCTGAGAGGCTGCAGGTGTCCTGTAGGTCTGTGCGAAGTGACTAGTATTTGCTTTGGATTCGGATTTGGCCGATTCGGGGGACAGTAATTCAATTTGGTGATTCAAATCACTGTCCCAAATTGATTCGGCTGAATCTGATTTGTCCATCAGGATGTAGTTTAGTTTGCAATGATGCAAACTCATTTAAAACTCACAAAACTTGGATACATATAATGTGCGATGCCATTAAACCACACACAGGGAAATTTTCGTCACTTTTACATCATGACGTATACAAGCACCCAAAGGCTCTGCCTTGGTTTTCAGGGCAGTTAACAGGACTTTAGCCATGAACTTAATGGAAGTAGGAACAAGTCTGGGGAGTAGAAGACATGTTAATATTTAAATTAGGTATATTTAATGAATGAGACTGGGCAATCAAGGAAAAAAATATCACAATTTAAAGACTTCTGTGGTGTTGGGGACTGGTAATGACACATGGAGTACGTGACTAATGTGAGGCAGGAGTCAGCCATGACTCAGCAACCTGTTCTCTGCTGAGGATGGATGTCAACAATGGGTCTTCCTGAACTGATGTTGAAAATGCTTGACAGGCTACCACCAAGTACAAAACTGTTTTGAGCACTGTTAGAGAAAACAGGATTGGGATTTACTATGTTGGCTCAGGGAAGATTTTTGGAAGTTGGAAGAATCATTGTAGTTTTACTAATGAAGATTTTGCATGTATTACTGAAGGGAACATATGACTGACTCCAAATAGGGTATAAGTAGAGCAAGTCTCAGACCCCTAGCAGATGGTAAAATGACTGCACAATTGGGGTCTGAGTAATTTTATGCCCGATCCCAAAAATCATGCACCCTGCTCTGCCAGACATGTAGGCAGGGGTTTAGGTTGTAGCCATGTTGTTCTAAGGACATAGGCAGACAAGGTTCCTTGGGTGAATTTGATATCTTTTATTAGAGCAACCCAAATAGTTGGAGAAAAGTTATTAAGCAAGCTTTTGGGTTCAAAAACCCTTCGTCAGGCTAAGGAAGTTTCAGCAGTTGGTGTGTGCTCTTTCTGGATGGAATGAAAAGACATGTAGGCATGCATGTGACTTTTGGGAACAATATAAAATTTCTCAGATCCAAATTACGCAACTGCAGACCAGGGAGCCCAGCATGGAGGATCGAATTCTCCATGCTGGGCTCCCCATACATTGTCAGTGATAGTGCAGTTAGGCACTGGGGAGCCTGTCAGTTGGTGGAGAGCAACCCTGCGTCCTGGTGCTGGGATCCAGTGTTGCCTCCAGGGATCAGGTCAGGGAGAGCTGTGGTTTCCAGACTCAGGACCTGGGGTTGCCTCTGCTGCTCAGGCAGAGGAGAGACCCAGGTCCCAGGTCCCAGGTCTGGGACTGGGGGCTGTCCCCAGGGATTGGGTAAGCCCTGGATACTAGTTTCTGGTGGAAGTATGCAGCTGTGGAGTGGGGAACTCCCAAATTCCTAGCTGCATGTGTACAGGGGAGACCAGGGAGCACCCAGTTGCTCAGCTGTACGTGCCCTAGACCCATGCCACAAGTAGCATGAGCAGCCTCTGTGTGTGGCTCATGGCAGACTGTGGAGGAGCCAGACAGCACAATGTTAGATACAGCAGCTAGCAGAAAGCTGAGCAGCATATTGGGTAACAGGTATCAGAGTGGCACTTGTGGAGGGTGCAGGGCTAATTTGTGGCATGCCTGCCAAAAAAGTTGGACCCACTAGACTAGATGACCTCCTGAGGTTCTTTCCAGTGCTACTTTTCTTTGATTCTATGGAATGCTGTCATGAATTTGGGACTTCGTGTTGTCTTTTGCTGGCACTAAATTCATTAGCTCAGTTTAAGAAAGTTGTTCCATGTCACTGTCCATTTACAGATTCATGGGTATTATGCTTTCTTTCTGATTGTGGGGGCAAAGAAAAAATAAAATTATTCAATAGGAATTTGAGATTAGTTGCCTTCCCAAATGGAGCTCTATGTTGTAAGCCTTTTTATTCCTTATATTACAACCTTTCCCCTGAGAATCACTCACTCAGCTTGTAAAATGTACTCCAGTGATGGCTGCAAATAGCAATAAGAAAACAGAGGACATTACCTATTTCTGATGTATTCCAAGCTGATGGATGGTTTTGTAGAGACAGCTGATATGGGTTCATGTCAGCCTTTTGCATTCATTATCATATGATATAATAATGATAATAATAATAATAATGATCATATGATATAATAATGATATAAGTATCTTATCTCTTTCCAATAATTGCATCAAAACATTTATCCAAGTATTCTTTATAGGTTCAAAAACTCTGAGAAAATGAGTTTTCGCTCTGCACCTCCATGTTTCTGCATTATTTTTGATGGGAAGTAACTACTCAAAGGGGAATTAATGGAACACTCAGTGTGAACACCAGTTTTACAGTATTTCTTGCTATTAGTAGAGTATAAATTGACCAATAAGGTCTCAAGATTTTGTTGACTTAGGTAACTCAACAATGTGTTTCAGGTTAAGGTTGTCTACCCATGTCAGAAAAGTCATGTTGCCAATCTGGCAAATAGTGCATGTAGCCCTGTTGGAATCCAAGATGACCAAAACGTGAGTTCATAGAAGCCAATATTTCAGCCCCCACTAGGATTATAAAATTTATTTGAACCACAAAACCAACACCGTATGAAGTGAGGAGATCAATCGTAACATTTCTGTCATGGTAGCCATATTGGATTCCAAGATGGCTGACATATTAGCATGTGTGTATAGACTCAATGTAATTAAAAAACCTAGTAAACAATAATACTAAAACCTCACAAATTCTATCACTACAAAATTTCATAGCAGGCCTAGAGTACTGAAAACATTATAACTCAGGTTAGCTTACTTGTTCAAGTTATATTGAATAAGATAATAGATTTTTTTTTTTTAGTTTCAGAATGTGGATGTCAGGTATTAATAATATATAACTCACTGGCAATGAAACACATAAACATATGTTTGGCTCAAGGCAATAGGAAAATTTAAGTCTGTTTCAATGGTAATATAATGGTAATACAACATTATATATAACATGAATACAATAGATAACTGCAGTTGTTCAGATCTCTTTGAAGTTGCTCTTGATTTCACTGTAGTCCTATTGCCTATGTTGTTGAGGTCCTGGCAGTGAGTGGGCATGAAGGCCTCTGAATGGGTGGCTTGACATTGGTGGGGAGAAGGCCAGTGACCTATTTGGAGGGGTGGGCCTGCACCTGGACAGTGATGGCATCAAGCACTGTAGCTTCCGCATGCCACTGTCAGAGGGAGTGATCCTCACCTGCAACACTGTTCCTGACTGGCCGGCTGTGCTGTGGCTGTCATTGGAGGTGCCATGAGACAAGGTAAGCCTCCTCCATCCACTGGGGTTCAAAGACCTCACCTTGGGACTCACATTATGCAGGTACTGATCCAGGGTATGTGCTGAGGTGCTGCCTCCAGGCACCTGGCTCTGGCCTCAGACCGAGCTGCCTGGACTCAGTTTCATAGTTTCATAGTAGGTAGGGTCAGAAGGGACCTGAGCAGATCATTAAGTACGACCCCCTGCCATGGGCAGGAA